GATTCCCTGTGAGGAGCCTGCTTCTCCCTCTGCCTTTGTCTCTGCCTCTCTCTCTCTCTCTCTCTCTCTCTCTCTGTGTCTATCATGAATGAATGAATAAATAAATCTTTTTTAAAAAAGAAAGAAAGGAAGAGTCAGGGCTGATCTCAGGATTCTGACCTTTACCCTGAGAATTTTTTTCTTCTTAAAGAGGAATGACATGAGCTAACGTGTGTTTTAGGAAGATCTTTCTAGAAGCTAATGATAGGTGGATTTGGAGACACTGGAGTCTATAAGATGAGCCTATCTGTGTTTTTAGCCATTTACCGAGGTTCAGAGATAGGACTAAGGATAAGCTATTTATTTATTTATTTATTTATTTATTTATTTATTTATTTATTTTAAGCTTTTTCTTTTTTAATTTTTATTTATTTATGATAGTCACAGAGAGAGAGAGAGAGAGGCAGAGACACAGGCAGAGGGAGAAGCAGGCTCCATGCACCGGGAGCCCGATGTGGGATTCGATCCCGGGTCTCCAGGATCGCGCCCTGGGCCAAAGGCAGGCACCAAACCGCTGCGCCACCCAGGGATCCTGGATAAGCTTTTTATGTAGTATGCACATTAACTCTTTATCTTAAAACTGTTCCCATTTTATAGCTTTCCTTTAAATTAAAAAAATATAGTAAGATATATGTGTTACATAAAATTTACCATCCTAACCATTTTTAAGTGTGTAATTCAGTAGTGTTAAGTACATTCCACATTGTGCAGCCAGTCACCAGATCATGACTTTCAAGTTAATTTAGTTGACTTTTATTAGAAAGAAATTGCAATTTGTACAAATTCACTTTTTTGGGGGTAGCAATTACTGATGTTTGCTTAAAACTTTACATTGTATGATGCTCTTTAACATATATGATCTCATTTGAACCTTATAAACCTCCTTCTGAGGTAGATATTATCCCTGTTTTACAGATGAGAAAGCTGAGGCCAAGAGCTAAAAGACCAGATAAGCTTGGGGTGTGTGTTTATCCTGGAGAAACAAAGAGTGTCACCCAGATTTATAGGCTGAGGATTTCACCCATCCAATCAGTCATGCAGCAATATTATCTGAGTACCTAGTATGCGCCCAGTTGGAGAATCATGTTGAGCAAAACAGACATACTGCCTGCATTTATAGAGCTCAAGGACTAGTGGGGGAAACATGTATTTTTCAAGAAATCATAAAAGCCGCCTGGCTAGCTCAATTGGTGGAGCATGTAACTCTTGATCTTGGGGTTGTGATTTCTAGTCCCAAGTTGGGTGTAGAGATTACTTCAAAATAAAACCTTTAGGGGACACCTGGGTGGCTCAGCAATTGAGCATCTGCCTTTGGCTCAGGGCGGGATCAGTCTCACATCAGGCTCCCTACAGAGAGCCTTCTCCCTCTGCCTATGTCTCTGCCTATCTCTCTGTGTCTCTCATGAATAAATAAATAAAATCTTAAAAAAAATAAAACCTTTAGGGATATCTGTGTAGCTCAGTCAGTTAAGCGTGAGAGTCTTGATTTTGGCTCAGGTCATGATCTCAGGGTCCTGGGATTGAGCTCCATATCTGGGCTCTGAGCTCAGACGGAAGTCTGCTAGAGATTCTCTCTCTCCTTCTGTCCCTCCCCACTCCCCACTCGCATGCACACACTCTCTCTCAAATGAATAAATAAATCATAAAAAAAAATAGAAGTAGGGTGCCTGAGTGGCTCAGACAGTTGGTTAAGCACCTGTCTTCTACTCAGGTTGTGATCCCAGGATCCTGGGATCAGTCTCGCATCAGGCTCCTTTCAGGGAGTCTGCTTCTCCCTCCCTATGTCTCTACCTCTTTCTCTGTGTCTCTCACGAATAAATAAATAAAACCTTTAAAAAAATAAAATCATTAAACTTCACAGGGAAAGACAATGGAAAGTATCTTCATTTGAGAGAAACTCAGGACCAAGTATACATATGCTATATGCATTTGTAAACCTTTCAGAATTATTCACCCTGACACTCCATGTGTCTAATCTACAATATCCTTTCCTTGAAATTGTATGATTTGTATACTGACCCCAACCTTGTGAGGTAAGCAGGTAAGTATGACTACTCTACCGGTGAAAACTGCCGATCTCAAAGAGGTTAGATAACTTGCCTAAAACGACATAACTAGTTAATGGTGAAGATTGGATTTGAATCTAGGTCTTTAGCACCTAGATTGTATTATTCTTGTAGTATTCATTCTTATATTTATTCATTGATTCATCAAATATGCACTAATCACGTTCTGAGTGTCAGCCTACATATGGAACAGTCAAGAGCTACTGAAGCACCAGGAAAGCAGCTTCATACAATTTAGTTTTTTTTTTAAGATTTTATTTATTTATATATATAGAGAATGAGCAAGCAAGAGAGCATGAGCAGGGGGTGATGCAGAGGGAAAGGGAGAAGCAGACACCCCAATGAGCAGGGAGCTATGTGGGGCTCCATGCCAAGACCTTGGGATCATGACCTGAGCCAAAGGCAGGTGCTTAACTGACTGAGCCATGCAGGCGCCCCTCCAGTTTAAGTTTTAGATAAGAGTTCAGAAAGTGATGGTTTCCAAAGTAGGGTCTGGGACCACCTACTGGGTCTGAATCTCTGTGATTGGAGCTCAGGAATGTCAAGGATCATCCAGGTTTGGGAATTCCTCTCCAATTCTAATGCAATGGAGAGAGGGAAGCACTATATTAGAGAAGGGGGTGATGCAACGAGTTAACATGACTAAGGTAGTGGCTGTAGTAAGAACCAACCAGGTGAGAGGTGATGAAGTACAAGACTGAGGGGATACACTTGAGGATCATTTAGTTAGCGTGGCCAGGACAGTGGCTGAGGTTCAAAGAATTGGAGTCTGAGATTCCTCAGACTCTGGAGCCTGTGCACCTTATTACATGTAGTCATTTATAACCATATCTCGATTTTAAATATTTATGTCTTTAGGGATCCCTGGGTGGCTCAGTGGTTTAGCGCCTGCCTTCAGCCCAGGGCATGATCCTGGGGGCCAGGGATCAAGTCCCACATCAGGCTTCCTGCATGGAGCCTGCTTCTCCCTCTGCTTGTGTCTCTGCCTCTCTTCTCTCTGTCTCTGTGTCTATCATGAATGAATAAATAAAATCTTTTTAAAAATAAAAATTAAATAAATAAATAAATAGTAAATATTTATGTCTCTTGTCCCTTGTTTTGCAAATCTCCATCTTATTTCAAACTATCTTCAGGTCTTGTATTTCTCCCTCACTTTCATAAAGCCTAGGAGAGACATAAGGACAGACAAGCTAAGATCTTTTTTTAAAAAAAGATTTTATTTATTTATGAGAGAGAGAGAGAGAGAAAGAGAGAGAGAGAGAGGCAGAGACACAGGCAGAAGGAGAAGCAGGCTCTGTGCTGGGAGCCTGATGTGGGACTTGATCCCGGGACTCCAGGATGATGCCCTGGGCTGAAGGCAGACACCAAACCGCTAAGCCACCCAGGGATCCCCCAGACAACTAAGATCTTAAAAGTTTTAAAATATTTATTTGAGGGGGGGGCTGGGTACCCAGGCAAGGAAAAAATAGATTTGATTAGATAAGCACAAACTCTGGGAGAAAATAGTAAGATACTGCAATGTATCTCCTCTTCCATAAAATGTAGAAGACCTTCAGGAAACCTGAAGACAGTAATCCCAGAAGCCAAGAGGATGACTGCATTTCCTCTCCAAGGTTATTACTGGGTTTCAAGCTGGAGTAGGTCAAGAATTCAGGAAACTGTCAAGAATTCAGGAAACTGTAAAGAATTCACAGCAGCCTTGATAACCATCTCCCCAAACATCAACATCAACAACCTCGACAATAAAATTTATTAAAATTTGGGGTGCCTGGGTGGCTGTTGGTTAAGCCTCTGCCTTCAGCTCAGGTCATGATCTCCAGGTCCTGGGATCAAACTAGGCATAGGGCTTCCTGCTCTGCAGGGAGTCTGCTTCTCACTCTCTATCTGCCCCTCCCTACTGCTCGTTCTCTCTCAAATAAGTAAAATCTTATTTATTTTTATTATTTTTAAAAGATTTTATTTATTCATGAGAGACACAGAGAGAGAGAGGCAGAGACATAGGAAGAGGGAGAAGCAGGCTTCATGCAGGAGCCTGATGTAGGACTCGATCTGGGGACTCCAGGATCACACCCTGAGCTGAAGGCAGCCACTTAACCACTGAGCCACCCAGGCGTCTCTGAAATAAGTAAAATCTTTTTAAAAAGATTTTAAAAATTCATCTCCTTCCCACCCACAACCACAGACCTGAAGAAGGCAGATGGGACTATCGAGGATTTATCCTCATCCAGAGTCTGGGTTTCCCAGGGTCACAGGGAGGAGGGAAACTGACATTGGAATTTTCTTTCTTTCTTTCTTTCTTTCTTTCTTTCTTTCTTTCTTTCTTTCTTTCTTTTCTTTCTCTTTCTTTCAGATTTTATTTATTCATGGGGGACACGCACAGAGAGAGGCAGAGACACAGGCAGAGGGAGAAGCGGCTCCACGCAGTGTGTCCTATAGGGGACTCCAGGATCAAGCCTGGACGGAAGGCGGGCGCTAAACCACTGAGTCACCCAGGGGTCCCATGACATCAGAATTTCTGAATGCACACATCAGAGGCCGAGGACACCTCCACGCTCATCTCACTACCAGGTAGTGGGATTAAAGCGAACTGAGGCAAAGGCTACGGTTGGCAGTACGGGGGACAACTGGTCTGTCGCGGTAGTGGCGAGGCCATAGGGCCTGAGCCAAGCAGGTGGGAGTGGAGGTGTGGAAGAAAAGGATGGGAAAGTGGGCGTGGTGGATCCTACCACAGGATTTGGGGTGGGGTGTGAGAAGCACCAGGGGGAGGCTCCCTTGAGGATGGCCAATCAGAGAGCTAGTCGCGGCGCAGGGGCAAGACAGGGACGTATCTTGGTCGAGATTGGATAACGGCCTGGCGTTGGGAGGGGCTGCGCGCCGCCTGGGCCCGGCGCTTTGCAATTCAGCTCCATATACCACAGTGACGGCGGCGGTGGAGGTGGGCTGGCCGCGGCGCACGTGCCTGAATCTGAAGCTCCTCGCTTGCCTGGCCACGGAGTTCCTTGGGTCCCGCGTGCGTTCTGTCCAGCCTCAAAGTCCCGTCCCCTAACCTCTCGCCCAGCTTCCCAAAGCTCCGGACGTCGACTTCTGCAGAGTGAATTGTCACAGCCATGAATGTCTCGGAGGAGGGCATAGAGATCTTGCAGCCTTACTACTTCGAGCTGTTCCAGGACATGAGGCCCTTTTTGGAAGAGTACTGGTGAGACCTGGGGAAGGCGAAGCTCTGTGCCAGGGTCCTGACTGCTATTTGGAGGTGGGTGGGGGAGGAGACACTGAATGCCTGCAATGATTTTCTTAAAGAGCAAAGGTATCCAGCTCCCCTGTACTGGCTCCGTATCCCTGTTGTCCAAGATGCAGTTGGTGTGGCATCTCAAAGAGATTAGATGTGGAAGAAAGAGAGAGAGAGAGAGAGAGAGAGAGAAAGGAGGGAGGGACGGAGGGACGGAGAAAGGAAGAAAATGGGGTGAGGAAAGTAGGAGACAGAAACCAAGAGGAAAGAGTGTAGTGAGAAGTGATCTCTGAGGAAGGGATTGATCTGAGCTCTTACTCCCACCCACCTTGTAGACGACTCTCCTCTGTCCTTTGTGGTGGTGTGTGCAGGCCTGCGGGCATAGTGCTGGTGCCCAGGGACTGTCTACTTTCACAATTATCACGTTTCCCAAATGCTCCATCGTCCCCACTGTGGAGGAGACACAGGGAGCTCTTTCAATATTTCCCCAGGCTCTTTGATTTTGCCCCAAAGCTCCTTAGAGGGGCTTGTGGGCTGACTGTATGCTCCAGCCAATTTGCCATGACCCAACTGGGCAGAAACTATTGCCACATTTTTCTTACATCAGAGCCCTGGGTTGGTTGTAAGTATGGACCAGCAGCTGTCACCCACACAATTCCTCTGAGAGCAAGAATCACAGAAACCTTGAACACAGCCCCTGCACTGTGGTAGGTCCTTTATATACCTTCCCACTGTCAGAAGAGTGCTATTTCTCTTTTATAATAAGGAAAGTGAGGCTCAGAGAACTAAGTTTTTTTCCCCAGTGTGCCTCTCTCTCTGTGTGTCTAATAAGTGGCAGAGCTGGGACTCCGAGAGCACTCACCTTGAGATATGAATGGGCATTCCTCTAACCAGCACCCACTATAAACCCCTCTGCCTTCTGCCTGTCAGGGCAACCTCATTCCCCATAGCTCTGGTCTACCTGCTGCTCATCTTTGTGGGGCAGAACTACATGAAGGCACGGAAAGGCTTCAACCTGCAGAGGCCTCTGATCCTTTGGTCCTTCTGCCTTGCAGTCTTCAGGTAAGACACCCCCTCCCCCCAATCTGCACTCCCTGCCTATGCTGTAGACCCTAGAAACTCATTCTATTTCCTAAAAGCTTTCTAGCAACCCCAACTGAGTCAATGCCCTAAATTGCCCTCTAACTCTATTCCCGTTTTTGTTGTTGTTGTTGTTTTAAGATTTTATTTATTTACTCATGAGAGACACAGAGAGAGAGGCACAGACATAGAGGGAGAAGTAGGTTCCCTGCAAGGAGCCTGATGTGGAACTCGATCCCTGACCAGGGATCATGCCCTGAGCCAAAGGCAGATGCCCAACTGCTGAGCCACCCATGCGCCCCCCTCTAACTCTATTCCTAACCCCTTCCCTCAGCTCCTGCACTCTCTCAGCTTCCTCCTCCTCCCATATTACCCTGTTTTCCTTTCCCTAGGCCCCAGACTGGCAGCTTCTGCTCTCTCTCATGAGTCTTCTTGTGCCCATGGAGTCTGTGTACTTTTAACAAATTTCTCCTGCCTCTAATAACTCTCAGCACCCTTTTCCAAGACCTTCCAACAACTTCTTTAGCCCCTCCTTCCCAAACTCACTCTATCGCCCCAGTCCTGTTGTCCATCCCCTCCCAGGCTCTTCCTATACCAAGAACTCTAGTCCCTAATTCAATTTTGAGTCTGATCCTTCAGCATTTCCGAGTCCTTCCCCAGCCTTCATCTCCTCTAGTTTACTGGTTGGATTCTGGCCCCAGGATCTCAGAGGCAGTGACCCATTATGCTGGAAGGGGGAAAGTGGTGGAGTTTGGGGAGTGACCTGCCAGGTCAAGGGGGAAGGGTGAATTGGTGCCTGGGGAGGTAACTCTTACACCCTTTTCTTCTGTCCCATTTCAGTGTCCTGGGGGCAGTGAGGACATGGGGCCATATGGGGGCCTTGCTACTTAGGAGGAGTCTAAAGCAAACTGTGTGCTTCTCTAGCTACGTCAACAATCCCATAGTCAAATTCTGGTCCTGCCTCTTTCTTCTCAGCAAGATCATTGAACTTGGTGAGTGACAAGGCTTTGTCTCTCTGGTGCCCAGTTAACTGCATCCCTCCTCATCCGCCCCCCAACTTCACCCATCCCATGGAAAGTCCCTTCCCCACCCCTGAGTCCCAATAACACCTCTTATCCAAGCCCCTTTTCAAATTATTTGCCACAAAGACCCTTCTCATGCCCTGAGAATTCCCCTCATGCCCCAATATCCAGCATGGTGGGCAGGCCCAACACTGGATGGTTTGCCAGCTATGACTCCCCATCTCCCAGGAGACACGGCCTTCATCATCCTGCGTAAGCGGCCACTCATCTTTGTACACTGGTACCACCACAGCACAGTGCTAGTGTACACAAGCTTTGGATACAAGAACAAGGTGCCTTCAGGCGGCTGGTTCATGACCATGAACTACGGTGTGCATTCTGTCATGTACATCTACTATACTCTGAGGGCTGCCAAAGTGAAGTCCCCCACGTGGTTACCCATGCTCATCACCAGCTTGCAGCTCCTGCAGATGTTTATGGGAGCCACTATCAGCATCCTAACTTACATCTGGAGACAGGAACAGGGATGCCACACCACAGCGGAACACTTCTTCTGGTCCCTCATCTTATATGCGACCTATTTCATCCTCTTTGCCCATTTCTTCCACCAAACCTATATAGTGCCCAAGGTCAAAGCCAAGACCAAGAGTCAATGAAGGGTTGGAGAAAAAGGAGCCCCAGGCTCTCCCCACCGAGAGGATGAGCTTAGGTTTGGGAGAATGATTAGGATGCCTTCCCTGCATGGTTTTTCCCATGGAATGTGTGCCCCAAGGTGGCTGGAAGTTATGTCAGACAAGAGGTGGCAGCCCTGGGTAGGGTGTAATCTAGTACTTTGATGTTTCTATTTTAAATGTGAAGGTCGGGACGCCTGGGTGGCTCAGTGATTTTATTTATTTAAATAAAGTCTTTAAATAAATAAATATGAAGGCCAAGAAGGCCCTGGGATAGGGGTAGAACTGAAGAGGAATCCCAGAGCTAAATTATTTATATTTCTATCCAGAAATCTTCTTGCTCTATTTTTTTAAAAAAGATTTTATTTATTTATTCATGAGAGACACACAGAGAGAGAGAGAGAGGCAGAGACATAGGCAGAGGGAGAAGCAGGCTCCATGCAGGGAGCCCAATGTGGGACTCGATTCTGGGACTCCAGGATCACGCCCTGGGCTGAAGGCAGACCCTCAACTGCTGAGCCACCCAGGTGTCCCGCTCCATTTTTAAATTAAATATTTCAACGGGTCTTTGGGGATTTGGGGGGGAGGAAGACTGCTGTGATGGGAGAGGGCTGCTGGGTGAGAAGCCTAAGATGTGTGGAAAGATGAGAGGCACACACAAGAGACATTCAATAAGAATTCTAGGCCTGATAGGCACTTAATAAATGTCTGTTACAGACCAGAATTTTATTGCTATTAGAGGCCCAAGCCCCTCATAGGAACAGTGAGAAACAGGTGCAGAAAGGTGGTGTAACTTATCTAAGGTCATAAGCTTCCTAAGTTGCAGAATTGACACTTGGCAAGTAAGCGTTCCAAATCGGACCTTCCAGTTATCCTCCGTGAGGCCACGAGGTGGCACCGCAGCACCAGCTTTGGCTGACACCAGTCAAGTAGCTAGTTCTCTAAGCCACACCTACATATTTGCAGGCAGGTGCGCCCCTCTGCTCCAGGTATCCCCCAGCTTCCCCATCCTGGTGTTGGGAACTGAGAGGGGACTGAAGCCCTAGAAGCCCGGGCCCTCACTTTATTCCTGTACACCAGGCTCTTCCTTAGCCACAGGGGAGGGAGCTCAACCGCAACTCTGAATCATCAAACCTTTGGCAGTCCGCGCACTTTTATTTCGTTTATCTTTGAAAATGGGGGAGGGGAGTCTGGAGAAGGCGGGGTGGGCCAAGGGTCAGTTGGCCCCCGGGGAACTGGTCCCTGTTCCTGGCCTTAGTCCCAGGGGCGCGGACTGTGTGTAGGGTGTATAGGGCCCAGTCCACCCCTCAGGGCCGGCAGGGGGAAGGCTCTCTCCTGAGCTGGCCACCCACCATCCCCCACCCCCACCCCGAGCTGCCTCAGCACCCCTCTCAGATCCCGGGGCAGGGGCAAGCCAGTCAAGACGACCCCAGTCCGGGGAGTCTGTAAATTCTCGCCCCACCCTCGGGGATGGTCGACGGACCGGGCCATTCATACGGGCCGTTCAACGGCGTACTGGCAGGGACTGAGGTTGGCGGCCGGGGGCGGCCCGGGCACGGCGGGATAGCTGAAAGAGGCGTGCTGTTTGGCCTTGAGCCTCAGGCTGGCCAGACTCGAGTTACACGGGTCCCGATATACGTAGGGGGAAGAGGCGGCTGCAGCGGCTGCAGCAGCGGCCGAAGCGTAAGGGCAGGACACTGCCCCGGAGGACACTGCGGCCGGAGCCAGCCCGGGGGGCCCCCCGCCCAGGCCCTGCAGGGCCCCGGGCCCTGGCACGGCGCCCGGGGCGGCCGCGGCCGAGGGCACCATGGAGGCGGCGATGGAGCTGGGTGGCGAGAAGACGGGCTGCGAGGCCAGAGGCCCCACGTTGACCGAGTTGAAGGCGAACGGGAAGGTCTTGGCAGCAAGCGGCGGGCCAAGCGCCTTGGGTGGCCAATTGCCGTACGAGTAGCCGGGGTACACCTCCTCGTAGGGCGGCACCAGCCCCCCGAGCGGCGCCGCGAAGCCGCCCTTGCACAGCTCCGCTTGCTGGCTGCGCTCGCGCTTCCGCCACTTGGCGCGCCGGTTCTTGAACCACACCTGCGGGCGTCGGAGAGCGGCTGTCAGGGCCGGAGCCGGGCGGGGTCAGCGCTGCTGGCGGCTGGGTCACCGAGACCGGGGTTCGGGCCAGCGCCGCGTGGAGGATAAACACAAGTGTCTGGAAACGCGATTGGGCAGCGTGGAGGCTGCCTGGCTGGGCGTGGGGGGAGCGCACCGAGTCAGGGGGCTGAGATCAGGAGTGGACGGCAGGGCTGAATCGGGAGCAACAGGGTCTGGACGCGTAGGATGGGGTCAAGGAGGAATGAAGAAAACGAGGGACAGTGCGAGGGGGCGTGGGGAGAAGGAACGAGCCACCCGTAGTGACAGGGCGGAGGGAGTCAGGGCAGAGGCTGGAGGCTAGTGCGAAGGAGGCCACGCGGGGCAGCAGATGGGGGCAGGGGCACGTCGGCGTTAAGCCCGGGAAAGGCAGTCAGGGCAGAGGCACAGGGCTGGCTCCAGGGCGGCTCGCTGAGCGGCCAGTGAGATGGAGACTGGGCTGGAGAGGGCGCGGGGCAGGGGGAGGGTTGCGGGTCTGGGGAGGGGGGCGTACCCGCACGCGGGCCTCGGTGAGGTTGGTCCACACCGCGATCTCTTCGCGCGTACTCATGTCGGGGTAGCGGTTCCTCTGGAAGGTCGCCTCCAGCTCCTGCAGCTGCTGGCTGGTGAAGTGGGTGCGCTGCCGCCGCTGCTTCTTCTTCAGCGAGCCGTCTTCTGGGGAGCCGCCGGGCAGCGAGGCCGAGGCCTTTTCCGAGTCTGGGGGCCGAGGTGGGGGCAGGTCACAGGGCGCCCAGGCCTTCGCGGATTCTGCGGCTCGAGGACCTCCTCCACCCACCCCCACCCCCTCACCCCCCCCCCCCCCCCCCCGCCTTCCACTCCCAAATGCCACCCAAGGAGGCACTGAACTGTGATCTCCGGTAGAGGGTGCGCTCACCGCTGTGCTCCTGGCCCTTGCAGCCGTGTTCCGGGAGTGGCGGGTGGGGAGTGCCCGCATCTGACAGCGACAGGGCCGGGCTCCGGGCCTCCGCCTCGCTGAGCAGGCCAAACTCCATGGAGGGAGGACTCTGGAAGGGAGAGAAGGCACAGACCATGTTGATGGGGTTAAAATCTCCCGGTTATCCGGTTCTAGTACTGTTTCCCCTCAGGTTCACTGCCCCTTCTTCAGCTACCAGCACAAAGCTACCCCTGTGTGGAGTACCCTAGGATAGAATAAGGAAAACAGCAGCCTAAGGGGAGAAAGGTGTCTACCCCGGGGGTTTTATGCACAAATATGCACACTAGATATTTATCGAATTAGCTAAGGAAAACCACACCATTGCACGCCACGTACTGTATATCATATCCTCTAAAACTTCAGTTCCCTCTCACATGTATGTCCATTATCCCCACAAATTCATACATGCCCCGCAACCAATTATACCTGAACTCAGCCTGAACCTCTGTCATTCACCCTCCAGTGGGACAGATTTGATTTTGAACCAAGGCCCATATGTCTCGCATAAGGATAATCACTGCTCTTATTTATGAATACATACTATATGCCTTTACCTCACTATCTCTCTCCTAACAAGAATGCATCTGTATTAAATACTATCACCCTTGTTCAGATGAGGACACAGACTTGAAGTAACCACTAAGGCCACAGAGCTTGTAAGTGGTAAAACTGGGATCTGAACTGGGTCTGGGGAAACTCCAAAGCTAATGCCTTTTCTTCATTTGCTTTTTCAAATTGTGTTCCTTGGGGCCCTACCCAGAAATCCCTTCAGGGTAGAACTTGGGGCTAGCAGAGAGAGAAGCAGGCTCCATGCAGGGAGCCCGATGTGGGACTCGATCCCAGGACTCCAGGATCACGCCCTGGGCCAAAGGCAGACGCTCAACCGCTGAGCCACCCGGGCGTCCCAGGAGAGAGTATTTGAAGAAAGGGTTCCAGGATCAAAAACAAGTTTGAAAATCCCTAGGCTTGGGAACCCTGGGTGGTGCTGCGGTTTAGTGCCTGCCTTTGGCCCAGGGCGCGATCCTGGAGACCCGGGATCGAATCCCACGTCGGGCTCCCGGTGCATGGAGCCTGCTTCTCCCTCTGCCTGTGTCTCTGCCTCTCTCTCTCTCTCTCTCTGTGTGTGTGACTATCATAAATAAAAATTAAAAATTAAAAAAAAAAGAAAATCCCTAGGCTTTCTGGCCTTGTCTGCTTCTGTGCCTGCCCAGACACACGTCACACCCTTACCAGTTCCGCTCATTCCAGCCTTTACCAGCACTCCCACCCCGTACCCCCAGCAGTAGATGTAAGCTGCTTCTTCTTTTTTTTTAAGATTGTATTTATTATGTGAGAGAGTGTACACAATAGAGAGCATGAGCGAGCACCAGGAAGGAACAGAGGGGGAGGGAGAAGCAGAGTCCCAGCTGAGCAGGGAGCCCGACTCGGGGTTCGATCCCAGGACCCCAGGATCATAACCTGAGCCAAAGGCAGCTGCCTACCCAACTGAGCCACCCAAGCACCCCTAGATGCGAGCTTCTTAAAGCCACCCTACCACCCTTACTCCTTATCCCAAACCTTGCTTCACATTGCTCAGGAGACAGCCTGGGTCCCTCTCCAAGTTTCCCCAGCAGGATCTCCCTTCCTGTTAGCTCTCCCAAGCCCCCTCTGGTGGGATGAGGAGAAAGGGGCTCTAGTGAGGCTCAAGTACTTTGGATGCCTCTCCCTCAGAGGAGAACCAATGGAGGCTATGTACAGAGGAACAGGGGTGAAGAACAGGGTAGGAGGGGTCCATCTGCCTCTCCATTAACAGGGACTTAATGCAGGCTGTGCAGGGTGGCATTAATGTGGTAGATTAGCCTAGATTGAGATGTGTGTCACTTCACTGTTCTGAATTTATAAGGAGCCTTTCTCAGGGAGGCACAGATGGGCAGCGGCCTGTATTTGCACATGGTAATGCCCCCATCGACCAGCTGAGAGAGGACAGCTGCCCCCCCAACCTCTCAAGTGAGAATGGGGGTGCAACAGAGGTCAAGGCAGGAGGTTGAGAAGCACTCCCTGTTCTTTCTGCAGGGAGGGGGTCTAGACCTTGGGCCTTTTCCTAGGGTTGGAGAGGCAGGACTAAAGGAAACCCAGGAAGGAGAGAAGTCAGGCTAAGGGTGGGGAGGTTCAGCTCACCTCCCCTTCCAGGTCTGAGGTCAGGAGTTAGTGATGCTCTGATAGAAGAGAGATGCCCTTGGATGAGACCTGTGGCAGCCTTGAGTAGTAGTTCTTCCCAAATAGTTCAAAAGGCTTAGAACTGAGAGCTAGAAAAAGGGGGTTCTCTGAAGTCTCCTCTTATTTCATACCCAAGATGCTCTTGAAATGCAAACCATGTTCCTGGCTTTTCCAGAGGCCATGGGAACAACAGCACTGGGCAAAGAGGGACGACTGGGTTAACCTGTAGGGAAAACTAAATCCCATCAGTGCCATTTGTCTTTCCAGTCTGCCTTGGCTCCAGATTTCCAGTATTCTGAACTCCCCTTCTCCCTTCCAGCATTCCATACCTGTGTTTCCGTTTCACCCTCTATTGCAGGGTGAGGAGAGATAAGAGCCAGAGTAAAAGATGAGGCCGAGAAAGCAGAGTTCAGGCTATGTATTCCCAGAGACAGACAGACACACATGGAGACACACATGGGCCCCCACTCAGACAAAATAAGCACTTGGACTTGGAGCTAGAGGCATACAAACACATACTCTCCCACACATGCTCTCCCACATTCAGGCAGACAGACCCACACCATTACATAGTCTCCTCTCTCTGTGACAGGGACAGCTGCCTTGGCTGTTTTGGAGCTAGCCATTACTCCCCCCCCCCTTTCTGGCCCCTCTGAACCTCAGCTCTCAGTCCCAGAACTAAGGACTCTGTGGGGGAGGAGGAGGCCAAAGAGGCCAGAGGAGTGGTCTATACTCTAGCTGCTGGGGGTAGCCTGTTGTGCTGGGTGGGGAGAAATCCAAGGGAAGGGGGTGGGTTGAGGGTAGAGGGTGGAAACTGCCCAGGCCCCTCCTAGGAAAGTGATCTGGTATAGCCATAAGAAATTAGGTTTGGAAACAAAAGATCTACGTTCATGTCCTGGCTCCCCAACTCACTAGCTCTGTGTTCTTGGCAAAGTGCTTTACCTCTTTGGATATGTTTTTTCATTTCGTTTTTTTTTTAATTTTTATTTATTTATGATAGTCACAGAGAGAGTGAGAGAGGCAGAGACACAGGCAGAGGGAGAAGCAGGCTCCATGCCCCGGGAGCCCGATGTGGGATTCGATCCCGGGTCTCCAGGATCGTGCCCTGGGCCAAAGGCAGGCGCCAAACCGCTGCGCCACCCAGGGATCCCTGTTTTTTCATTTCTAAAAGGGAGATCATACTCCCTTCCCTACCTGCCTCTGGTAGTGCTCTAAGGTTAAAATAAAACAATGTAAAAATGAGTGGGGGCGGAAAATTCTATCCAAGTTGCTTTCTTCCTCTCCCATTCATTAAACAGACGCTGGGCATTGAGTTAGGCACTAAGGATAGAGTGGTAAGATCTCATCCTTGTGTCTGCCTTTGCTTGAGTTCACCTTCCTAGACTGTATCTCCCAGTAAAGAATTCCTCTGGTGAATAAAGGTGATTATGCTGCATTTGAGAGTGGGATGCAAAGGTGTGTTGTGAATTCTCTGCCCTGAACATAAAGGAGGGCCTCGCCAACAAGGTAACAGCAAAATGGGCAGAGTTACTGAAGCCAAGAACCACTGGTAAAGGGAAGAAGGAAGACTTCAGGCTCTTGACTGGGGTAGTAATAGTGGAAAGAGGTGTTGAGGCCAAGAAGGGCCCTGCCTGTGAAACTGAAAAGGCAAGAACACCACAGCCAGGCTGGTAACAGAGAGATAGAAGGTTGGGGGACACAGGCCTCCAGCAGACTCCTGACTGGGTAGGCTAGCCAGGCAGAAGCTGGGGGCACCAAGCTGTTGTCTGAGCTGGAGACAGGCTGGCTGAGGATTAAGCTCCCCCAAACTGTTGAAGGTCAGGAAGCTAGGGAGTTGGAACTGAGACCAGGGGCCTTGCCTCCCTCAGTAGACAGGAACAAGCAATAGGTCTGGAAGCTGCAAGATTGGTTGATGCTGGTAGGAAATAGCAGGCAGAATCAGAGAAAGTCAGGAGATAACAGCGGTGCTGAATCGAGCTCTGGGAGGGGCTGCTGGTCCCCACTCCTGCCTTCCTGCACACCTGACTGGGGATGTATAGGACAGGCTCCATGATGTTAGGGTGACAATCCCAGCCCTGAGGAGAAGAAAGGACCTGCAGGTGTGCTCTGATTCTGAAGTATAGGCTGGAATTACATCATGGACTGCAGCAAGAAAAAATATTCAAGATATATTAAGGTGGAGAGCAGAGGTTATCACAGGTCAAAGAGGTCGTAGAAGGGAGGCCATGGTTTCCAAGGAAGCCAAGCTTACAGCAAGAAGGCAACTTGTGTGCCCACTTTCACCCTGATGCCAAAGGGGCAAATCAGGGCCACAGCCAGAGAGTTCTCAAGGAGTTGCAATAATAATACCCAGTAAGGAGGTGTACCCTAGAACTGAGATGGAAGAAAACCCCTGAATGAAGAGGAAGATAGAAAGGAAGGAGTCATAGTGCTCAGCAAGTAGCAAGTTGATGATAGAATATAAACCAGGGCCCTTAACTAGCATGGAACCTGCCTAGAAACCTGGATCTAAAGTAAGGCCCTTAGGTTCATTAGGGATGCTGAGCACCCAGATTGTCTGGTCTGCTGAGCTGCAGTAAGTAAATGGGAGCAAATGAAGACAGCTGTAGATGAGGCTCACAGCTCCAAGAGGAAACCCTAAGATTTAAGTGGAGGCAGCAATGATTTGATGCAGTATGTATCAAGGGATAAATTAGGGATCAGAGAAATGGGCCCCCACACCCACCCTTTCCTTCCTTTTTTCCTTCAGCAGGTGTTAGGTGCTAAAACAGAGATGGTAAGGCACAGACTCTAACTTCTAGGAGCCCACAGTCTGGGGAGGCAAACAGGGCAGACAATGATGGGCTAAATGGGCATAATTCTCACATTGTGGGGGATCAGAGAGATGGAAGCCCATGTAAAGTGGTATCAAGCTATGGAGCTCAGAGAATGTAGCACATGACAGAGCTGGGAACTGGGGAGGCAGAGAAGGAGAAGAAGCTCCTAAATAAGAGAGCAGGACTGGGAAGGAGCTGGCAGGTTCAGAGGGCAACGGGCAGCCTAACTGAGATCATAAGAGAAAAACAGGTCAGGCTGAGGGAGTCTTCAATGAAGGGCATGGGGTGGTGCTTCAGGTTTGATGGAGTCTAAGTTAGAGCGTCTCCAGCTTTTCCATCAAAAACAGCTATGACCAGTAAGAAAGAACATCACTCTAGGAAACTGGGAGCACAACCTCAAACAGCTGCCACTACTACGAAATTTCTTTGAGATCTCCAGCCTTCTGTTCAAAATTGAAGCAAAATTTTCATTCTATTCCATACTTACGTATATTTATTTTAATATAAAAAATAAAGTTTTCTCTCCAAATCTCCAAGGGACATCTTCAAGTGACATCACCACACCAGGAAGATGGGCCATGTTTAGCCTGCAGCTTCATGCCCCTTATATTCCTGTCCTGTCTGCTCCTTTTGAGAAGCCGTACTACAAGCAGTGGGAGTCACTGGAGGCTTGTAGGCAGGGGAAAAACATAAGAACATCATCTCTGGGACCTTTATTTGGCTGTGGTGAGCAGAGTGGATTGGGCAGTGGAAAGGTGGGAAAGGGGAAACTTTAACTACAAAGTATAAGGAATGCCCCCAGGGAAGACAATGGAGAAGGAGTGGAGAGAATTTTGAAAGCAGCTCTTGTTCCCCCCCCCCACTGCCTATTTCTTTGCCTTTCTGTTTCTACCACTCTCATCAGGGGTCCCTGTCCATGACTATGGATGGGCTAGACACTCCAGGTAATCCTAAAGCTCAGGACCTAATGGATCTTTCAGGTTAGCTGCCTTCTTCCTCCCCATACTCTAGGATGCATCATTTAGAGTGAATGGAGAAGAAAAGATGTGAGTGGCTCTGTCCCTCTCTCAAGCCTATCCCCAGCGCAGCTCCAGCCTGCCCCCCTCTCCTCTCCTAGACCT